TAGTTTGTAGTCTATTTTTTTTAGCTACATTAGTATAGGACAAAGGTTACTATAGCAGATCACACATAGATATCTTCAGGATAACTGAGTGAGTTAGGGCTTAAAAAATTAGACATTAGATAATATGTAGCTAAATAATGTTGTTTTCAAACAGAAAGCAAAACTAAATAAAGTCTTGGCATAACTGCTGAATTAAAAAAAAAAAAAAAAATATTCAATATATTACTCACAAAGCCAAATTACACTCTAAAAACTTCTTTTATAATATTACTAACTTTCTAGCAAAAATAGTACTAACAAACCAAAAATTTAATTCAATATCAAATACTTCTACTTTCCTATTTTTTTTTTTATAGATGTATATATCTCTACTATTTAAAATCTATAAATTCTACATAAATATTCTTTCAATTCAATCCTTTAACAAAATTATTCAACAAAAAACCTTTCAAAATCTACAACCTTTTAATATCTTCTAATTTACTAATATAATAAACTCCCAAAATTACAATGCTAAACTATACTCACTTAGAAACAAAATATTACTAAACAATTTACCTACAATAGTAAATTTTAATATTTGATATCCAAATTTATATCTTATCTTAAATTGCTTCTTTTGTATTCAAAATAAAAATACTGAACACCAACTTTCATGTATACTTCACTCAATTAATTTTTATAATATTTTATTAACTCAAATAACTGATTACTAAAATAAGCTTAATCTAACCAATATTACATCTCAAACAATCCTATAGTCTATTCTTCTAACTTCTAACTCACAAAATCTAATAAACATTTTTCTACTTCTTACTCAAGGAATTATTTTTACAAATTGCTATGAACAAATTAACTCTTTTCTAAAAAAATCAACTAATAACTTTCTTATACAACTCTCTAAAAAAACATTTCACTATTGCTAAACTAATAGACAAAGGATTTGTTTTGATTTTTATATTAGATGATCAGGGACTACTAACTGTTAAAAGTAGGGATAAATTGTATATGTAAAAAAAACTAAGATTCAAAAATAATTAATTCTACAAAAATAAATATGATCTGATATAGTTATTATTTTTTATTTATTGTAATATATATTATTTAAATAAAATATTATTTAAATACTAAAAATAATTAATACTACAGAAATAAATATTATTTGATGTAATTATTCTTTTTATTTGTTTTTAATAAACTTAATAATAATAATAATAATAATATTGTAATAATTTACTGAAGATACAGCTAAGTTAAATTAATAGTATTTTTTTTTTAATCCGATTAATCGATTAATCGATAAAGTTATCCGATTTTAAAATCGATTTTGATTTTGAAATCGAATCACATTCCCAATTTACAGATAGACATTTTATAAACAAATTATTTTACAGAAAAATTATTTCACAGAAAGATTTATTTCATAAATAGTTCATTTTATAGAAAATTGTTTTTTTACCCTAACCTTAAATCCTAACTCAAACTTTAACACTAAACACTAACCCTTAAACCCTAACACAAACTTTAACCCTAAATTCTAACTCTTAAACCCTAACCCAAACTTTAACCTAATCTTATAAAAAAATTATCTATAAAATGAACTGTCTATAAAATGAACTGTCTATAAAATGAACTGTATATAAAATAAACTTGTTTGTAATAATCTTTTGTAAATTAATTTGTCTGTGAAATATAATTTTCTGTGAATTAATTTTCCTTGAAGTAGTATTCTATCAAATGATTTTCTGTGAAATATATTAGTTGTCATTTCGATTCTCTCTCTAACACGGGGTGCCATTAAAATTATAGAATAGGATTTGTTAAGACGCCGTAAAGGAGGAAATTGTAGAGTTGAGCAAAAAAATATTTTATGTAATCTATAAGTATTTTTTAATCCTTACATATTTTGTAAATTATTGAAAATTTTGAAAAATTTAATTAATGTTAGCGGCAATTAAATTTAATAAATGATGATATAATTTCCCATTATTACATATCGCAGTAAAAATTTTAAATAAGAATACATACTGAATATTTAAGGATATGTAAAAAATTTGCCCATCCCAGGAAATCGCCAACCCGGAAGTATTGCTGATCCGACAAAGTCGAAATTCACGAATTCACAGAATTCTTAAAGCTCGAGTAACTGTAATTCCAATAATTATGAGAATTCAAAGAATAACTGGAATTTTAGAATTGTTAGAATTCTTATTGTTCTAACATATTTGACAGAATAATATATAAAAAGCAATGCTTTAACTTTCAACGGTCAAAGTTCAAATAATAAAATCCAATAAATACCCCTGATAATTGAATTGAGTAGTATTAATGAATCGAAACCCAACACTAAAAACTTGGACCAAATCTTTCCATGCCTCGATTGATGCCTTCCAGTTTTAGGATTTAGTGTAGTATTTTTAGTGTAGTTATTAGCGCAATTAGTTATTATAATTAGTGATCAAAATATATCATTCCTGGAGCGAGCCCCCAATTTTACAACGCTAAATAATTTCTTAGCGTGTCGGCAACTTTCTTAGCCAATTTTTAAAATGTGTAACCCGTTTTAAAAAAATCCTTGAGTTGCGATACAATATGTTTTTATTATCAAATATTTAATAAATATTGAAGCTAAATAGCATTTGTAAGCCCCAACGTGATAAAATATTGCCACAAAACTTAAATATTTGCTAGAAGATTATGGCTTAGTTGAATATTCAATTCATTATAAAAATTGTAATTAAAAATATTTGTGAAAGAGTGATTTATCGTTATAAAAATATTTGAAAAAACTTATAATCTCTATTAAAAGTATAGCAATTAAGTTTTTATTAAATATAATTAGAAATGACAGATAGTTCTCATGTAGAAATTCCTATTGAGGAGGCTACGGATAAAAATTTAGAAATTCCTATTGAGGAGGCTCCGGATAAAAATGTAGAAATTCCTATTGAGGATGTTCCGTATAAAAATGTAGAAATTCCTATTGAGGAAGCTCCGGATAAAAGTGTAGAAATTTCTATAGAGGAAATAAAAAAAATCTCGAAGATTGTTTGTTCGCCTAATATGAAATATGTTGCGGCATTAGACGAAGGTAGCAATATTAGTATCTGGACCATCGTTAATAACGAGAAACTTTTAGAGAAACACATTAAAAATAATTGTACAAAAGAAAAAGATAGACTATTTGCAATTTCAGATAATATGCATACTTCAATTGGTCTTGATAGAGACCATCCCTACAATTTTAGTAAGTCATATAATTTAATTTATTGCTATTTCATAAATTCATAACTTATCGTATTTATGTCTATTCTTCAAGAAATTTTCAATTTTAATAAATTTGACAATGAGAAATATGAAAAGGAAGAATTGTTAACTTTTCCAGATAGTCAAAAGGAAATTGATATCTTGTCCTTTACTGATAATGGAAGAATAGTAATGGTTAATAATAAATTTTACAGAGCATATGTTTTTTCAAGTGAAGATAATAAGTGGATTTGTGAATCAATGATTGAACTAAAATATTTTAACCAAATTTATATTACACTTAAAGGAAAGTTGATCATATTTAATGATACGATTTATGAGATAACAGTATGGGACATTGAAACGTTATCGGTTGCAACTCGTACTATAATTGAGTGGAATTATACAATTGAATCTATTGAAATTAGTGATAATGAAGAATTATTATTAATATGTGCAAAAAGTGAGGAAACTAAAGAAACACGTTTATATGTCTTCTCCACCGAAACTGGGATAAACCTAGCATTTTGTAAGTTTTGAATTAATATAACAACTTATATCCATAACTTTTTGATAATCATTTATTTTCATTAATATTTAGTTAATACAAAATACGTTATCGATAGATTTCACTTGATCGCTTCTAAAAAAGGAGAAAGATTACTTTTTGTATTAGACGATCCACCAGATAAGCAATATAATATAATGGATCCTTATCATTTAACAAATGCTATAGATGCGAGTGAATTTTTTGAAAATGACCAGATTCAAGAACCATACGTAATTCAATCAGACAAAATAATTTATATGACTGATGGGAATTTGTCAATCAAAGATTTAGTGCCTAATAATTCTGATGATTGGATGAAATATTTACGAAAAGAATTGAAGGACACAAACAGCATTACAACACCATCTGAAAAGACAACTAAAATTATAAAGAATATATTAAATAATAAATATAATAAATATATTTCTGATAATGAAGAATTTGAAGGGCATTATTTTAAATGGGGATTAGAATTAGGCAGCAACTCAGTAATGCTTACAGTAACTGACTTTAACCATCGCAAGAAGAATTGGAATCCTAATAATAAAAAAAACCGACTAGAAATTCTTCCATCGTTTCATAAGGATCAAAAAAAATTTATAGCACACTGTGAAGTTCTTGATAATGATGATTTTATTATGATTACACGTATTGGTGTAATTATCTGGACTTTTAAGTTTTCTAAAGCCAATAAGACCAAAGAAATTAAGTTGCATTATTATTGGAATGATTGTAATAGCCGTTTAGAGAATTTCGTATCCGACCATAATGGTAGTTTAAAGGAATTCGACTTCAGTGACTTAAAATTTGAGGATCGCTTTAAGAATTGGACTTCGGCAAGAATTCTCCCTGCTTCAAGTTATGAAACTATCTATAAAAATTTGGATATTAAATTTGGTAACGAACAGCTTTTTGAACAGTTTTTAAAAGATAATATTTTTGAAGAATTTTATTTAATTTGTTATGGAAAAAATCTCATGAAAACATTTATATCAGTAAAGGATGATAAATGGATTAGATCTTTAGGCGGCAGCTGTGTGGATAAGTGCATGCAGGATAATAATCATCTAATTTTTAAAATTCCTTTGCTAAGTATTATTTTTGAAAATTTTGTTGAATTATCAGAAAATCATCCTGCATTTATAGCAAGTATTTTATCTACGGTAGCATTTATAGCCCCTACTACCAAAATAAGTTCGGAATCAACTTCTTCTCATCTTTCTAGTTATGGAAGATATTGTCATTTATCCAGAACATCATATTTTGATATAATTACATCTAATCTTTTTGATCATTTTAATAGTTTTCAAAATAATTTTCAAAAATTTCAAACAAATCATCCTCTTTTTCGAAAATTCATTGTAAAGCTTTATGAAAATCTAGTTAAACCCGTGAAGGAGTTTTATTATACTAGTTATAGTTCAACAGTTCTTGCAATTCCTTTACCAAACTTTGTTTCCTATTCAAAAGTATATAATTCATGGAAAGAATTTATATTACCTAAGCCCAACTGTTTTACATATTCGAATAAGCTTGAAATGATAAACGAAGAATTTTATAGATATTTAAATGGAGAAGCGTTACTTAAATTTAAATGGAATACTTATGGAAGAAAATATTATTTAGCAATATGGTTTATTTATACAGTTTTTCTTTGTAGTTTTATAATAGCTGCAACGTTTGACAAAACTATCTCTCAGCTTGGTCTGTCCATTCTTTTAAATATTTCTATTTTTCTTGGAATTTGGCATTTAATTTTTGAAGTCCGCCAAGTTATTTTTGCACCATTAACTTATATGTCTAGTGCTTGGAATTGGTTTGGTAATTTGAATTTTATTCTATAGTATTTAATTTTTTTATAACTAATTTCTATATATATTTTTTACTTTATTAACAAAGATTTAGGTGCATTTTTATTGCCAATGATAACATCAATTATATGGCTTCAAAATGATGTTATGCCAATCGAATTGGCTACTTTTTCTACTTTATTATTAGAAATTAAATTTTTATGTTTTTTTCGTGCTATTAAATTTTCCGGGACTTATTTCTCTATGATACTTGGAGTAGCTAAAAAAGGATTTTCATTTTTGATGATTTTAGGATTTATTATATTTGCCTTTGCACATTCGTTACACCTTTTATTGCGCCCTGCTACTAGTGTATCGTTGGATTATCCAAGCTATTCTACTGACCCAAACGATCCATGGAATTTGGCCGCAACATATAATTCTATAGATCCTAATGGCACGATTGAAGAAAGTTCTTCACTTATTGAACCTCCTACTGCGACTACAAATATGTTTATGATGATGGGCACAGCAATTTCTGCTGTTTATATTATGTTAACAGGTAAACTTAAACTATTATTTTTTTTATACTACAAATATTCCAACTTCAAAATTATTTGCATTTTTAATAGGAGACACAAGCCCAATTTCTTACTGGGATCTAGATTCTAACCCTACATTACTTTTAATAACAATGATATTTTCTTTTGTGGCAACAATTTACTTGATGAATTTGTTTATTGGATTATTAAGTAATGCAATAGGTGACACTAGTACAAGTGAAGCATTTCTGATTTTAAAAGCTGAGGTATGGCATTTTAAACAATATTTCTATTTATAAATACATTTTTAATGGTTTATTGATATAGGTATTAGAAGAAATTGAATTATTATATATGTTACCTCATCAACGAAGAAAAGAAAATTGGTTTCCATTTGTTATGTAAGTTATTTAATTGCAAGCAAAACCAAATTATTTTATTAATTTATATATTTCTAAATTTATATTTAAAGTTTCTATGAATGCCGCACAATAGAGCTTCGCGAATATGTAATAGATATTCAAAAGAATTGGAAAGGTTATAAAAAGCCATATTTTTCAAAGAATCTTACTGATGTTCTTCTACTCCCTAAAGAACAACCTGATCTTGCACAAATTGATGACCAAATGAAAAAGCAGGCTGAGAGTATTAAGGAACTAAAAGATTCATATGCTACAGCAGTGAATGATATAAAAAGATTGATACCAAGAGCTTCTTAATTTATCGAAATTTTGCTTTAGCAATATTAATATTTTATTTTAGTTATGAAATTAAATTGCATATCAACAAATATAAACATGAATAGAATTTGGAACAAGATTCATTTTTTAAATTCGTATTATTGATTTTAACAACAAGATACGCATTATGCAAATGCAGTGAGCTATAATTTTTGTACTAAATTTTGCAATATAATTAATGTTAGTAGTCCTATAGTAAAAATTATTTTTAAGTGTCAATGTTATAAATTTTAAACTTATAAAAAACAATAAAAGATGAATATCGTTATTACTTATTGATAATAAAGTATTGAGTAATAAATAATCACTAGTTCGATTGATGGCGCCTCGCGCCACCCATCTTGTTTTTATTTATTTTTTATTATTTTTATTTTTATTTTTATTTTTTTACCAGGTCTGGTGATCTTAGTGTAATGGTTAGGTTGCCAAACCACTATGTAAGAGGTCTGGTGTTCAAATCCCACTGTTAATGAATTTGAATAATTACTCAGATCTTTGTAACTAACTTACAGTAAACCCTGTCTATTTCTGGGGTTGTAACTCTATAAATCATCTTGTACCAATATCAATTGAATATTGGAAGTGTGACATAACACTTGGAGAGATGCAATGTTATATGAATAAATTTTGATAGAACTATGAGTAGGGAATCTGCATGGTAGAAATCCTGAGTTTAGGTAACATAGTACAGATTTTAACAGTCACACTAGCTAATGCTTGATTCAATAGTACAAAAATACAGATTGAGTTAGGTGTGAGTAAGTCTATTTCACAGAGAGAAATGGTAACACTAACTTGGCTTGGTAGCTAACTGGATTTGGGAAGAACTTCTTCATAAAACATTTGAAGAACTATTGGTGAAGAGCCACAGTAGAAACTGGGTTTGTACAAACATTGACAAGAGTACAAACCCCTGAATAGACTATGAAATAGGTATAGAATATTCTAGGGTAGAGGTCTAGTTTGTGAGTAAAGTAGCTCATAGTTCTGAATATATCATATATTTAAGTTGGTATTACAAAAAAAGCATTAAAAATCAAAGAGCTTAATTAGGAGATCTACAAGTGGATCTTAGATATAGCAGTTAGTAGCTAACCTTTGAGCAGAACCTTTAAATAAACAATGATTAAAATTGTACATATGGCTAATTGTGATCTCATTGATATACAAAATGTAGTACTCCCTATCTAAGTATAGATTATAAGTCTTAAATCAATAAATACCAGGATATAGAACTCCTTTTTTAAACAGTAAAAAAAAAAAATTTTTATTTTTTTACTATTTAAAAAGGAAGCTCTATATCCTAGTAATTATTTATTTATAACTTATAACCTATTATTATATAGTAGGATATTAGATTTTTTATTTGTACAAAGTTATAATTAGTCATTGTCTATTTAAAGATTCTGCTTAAATATTACTTGCTAGTTGCCATATCTAAGATTTACTTATAGATCTTTTATTTAAGTTCTCTGATTTTTAAATATTTGTTCTATAATATCAACTCAAATATTAGTATTAAGAAACATCAAGTTACTTTATTCACAAACTAGGTTTCTACTCTTAGATAGTTTATATTTATTTTACAAATACCTAGAGATTTTAACTCTTTTAATATTCATATAGCTCTAGTTTTTACTATAGTTTTTCATTAGTATTTGTTTTCTTTTTCTGAATACTTCATAAGTACTCTCTAGTATCTGATTTATATTTTTCAATTTTAGTCTTTTTTTGAATTAAATATTAATTGGTGTAATTATTAAAGATTATACTACATTACTCACTTAGAATTTCTATTATATAGATTTTTTGCTTATAGATTTTATTAAAATTTATTTATATAATATTATATTATACTTTCAAAGTCTAATTGACTTAGTACAATTTAATTTATAAAATAATAACTTCAGAAATATATAGAGTTTAAATAATTATTTAAATTTGTTAATAGTAGAATTTGAACTCTTGACCTATTGTATAACAGTTTAACAATTTAACTATTATACTGTTATAAGTAAAATAACTTTATCAGAAATAACTTTTTATCTACTAGTCTAATTTTGATGAAATATATACTATTAGAATCTTCTTACTAAGACAAATCTAATAAGCTAAAGATTATTCAAATTTAATTACTAGATACTAAAGTTCTAAATCATATAATCTACAAAAAGTATATATTTGTATAACAATTTATTTTATTTTTGTACTTTTTTTTTTTTTTTTTTTTTTTTTTTTTTTTGTTATTTATTATAATATCAGTATAGAAAAAATAATTTTAGTACAATTTAAATATCAAGATAATACTATTTATAGCTAAAGTTTTTCTATTTATATCCATGTTTCTCTAAAAGTCATCAGATATAACACTATATTTCCTATTTTCTATAAATATCTAATTTAAATAATTGCTATTATTACTATTAGAAATAAAGAGATTAGAAAAAACCTTTTTGGTAAAAATAAAATAAGAAGAATTATGAGATATATGAAAAAAGTGAATAGTTTTGTAAGAACTATCTTGTAATATAGATATCTATATTAGTTTGATGTTGAGTTTATATAGGAGTTTTTTTAGGAATTGAGGTTAGTAAGTTGTAGGTTTTGTTTTTTTTAGTTAGTTTTGTGATATTTTGAGAAGCTTCTCATATATGCTGGTATTAGTTTCTTGGTTGCCAAATATCTGAGTAGAACCAGTTTAAAGTATTGTTTGCAAGTTTGATAAAGAAATTTGTAGTTAGTTTAGTAAGTTTGTATTGAATTTGTATGAAAAGTTGTTGTAGAATAGTTTCTTGAATTATATAGAGAAATAAGTTTGAAATAGAAGTTTGAGAGGAATTGTTATAAGTTATGAATATTGAGATGATAGTTTGTACAGAGTAGTTTGTGATATTTAGAGATATGTTAGTTTGGATAATTTGGTGTTGAAGTATAGAGAGTAAGTTTGTTTTATATGCATTATATTGGAGAAGATGAAGTGTGTTTTCTTTTTGGTTGCAACAGGTGCAATTTGGTGTAAGGTATAGATGAAGTTGTCTAATATTTAGATTGTCTATTGTTGGAAGATTATTTAAGAGAGTTTTGAGATAAAAAGAGTAAAGATTAGTATTGGATAAGAGTGAGTTGAGGATAGAGAAGTTTAGTTTGAAATTGATTAATAGTAAGTTTTGATATGTTTTCAGTTGATTTATATTATTGAGAGTTTGAATAAAGTAGAGTGATTTGTTGAATTGGCATAATTTAAGAGGGATAAGATTGTTGTTCCAAGAAAAGAATGAAGGTAGGGTAAAATATTGAAGGTTAATTTTAAGTGGTAGTTTGTTTATTCCTTTTTTTGCAAGTTTGTCTGCTATATTGTGAAAAGTATTTTTGGAGTGAGATTTAATTTTGTGAAAAGTGCAGGAGATATTTTTGCAATTAATTAGGGAGTTTATGATGTGAATTATATCCTAGTTGAGTTGTTTAATTTGAGTATTATTATTATATAGAAGATTTTTAAGTATTTGTAAAGCTGATAAGTTGTTGATGTATATATGAATGTGAGAAAATATTGGAAGTATAAGTAGAATTATAATTATTGCTTCTATTTCTGCTCTAGTTGAGTTGGAAGTATATGTTAAAGTAGCATTGAATTTTATTTAGCTGTTGTCAGAGAGGATCCAACCAAAGTCTGATTTAATAAAAAGTGTTTGTGAGTGATAAATAGATACATCAGTATAAAAGTATAAGTTATTAAGAGAGAGGTTGAGGAGAAGATTATAAAGTTTTATGAGTTGTTCCTAATATATAGGTAAGTTGATTGTGTTTTTGATTAAGGATATTTCAGTATTTGAGATTTGTACAGTAGGAGATGGTAAGAGTTGGTATTGGGTATGAAGTTGTGTGGAGATTTGGATAAGATTATTAATTTCTAGATTGCTAATTGATAGTTTAAAATTTGATTTTTCTTTTTGACTTTTGCATTTGATATTTAGGGTTTGGTTTGGTGATATTTTTAGAAAGGATTGAGAAGAGGAAATTGTGGTAGTTCTATCTGTTTGAGAAATAATAATAAATTTTTGGAAAGTTATATAGTTAGTATAGTAAGCTATAGTTTTTCCGATGAGATATGTTTGATTAGTTAAGTAAATAGTCTAATTTGTTTTAAGAGAAGTTGAAGGGATTGTGATTAGGTCGAGTATACTTATAAAAGGATTTAGAGAAGGATTAAATTGATAGTAGTTGGTGAGAGTATTAGAGATATCTTTATACTATGAAGGTATACGACCTTTGGATATTTTATTAGTGCGAAGATAAATATTATTCCAGAGTAGTAAGCTTAAGTTGTTTGCTTTAAGGAGTTGTTCTATGAAGAGAATTTTGTTGTTTCTGAGGCTAAGAGTTGTTGTTGTTTTTAGAGAATAAGGAAGAAAGTTGTATATTGGGTTTAGTTAGTTGTAATTTGTAGTTATTTTTGTAGAGTTTAAGTTAAGTTATTTATTTCTATATTGTTATTTGAAATTAAGAGTAGTTGGATGATTATTGTGAAATTGTGAGTTTTCTTTTGATGTTTTAAGAGGATATTTTTTGTGAGGTAGGGATGCCATATTGAAGAGAACTATTCATTTAATTAGAGAATTGATATTTTTTTTAAAAGTTCATTTGAGTTAAAGAGTCGTTCAAGGTTGCTGCTACTTGTATTTAGAAAAATTTTTTCAAGAGTAGGTGCATTTAGTAGTTGTAGGTTCATTAAAATATCATTACTTGTATTGAGTAATAGATGTAAGTTTTGAGTATGTTCACTCAGATCATACATATTATTACTATGTAGAAATATTAGTAATTGTGTTTTGGATAAAGTAGAAGTTCGTTGGTCTGTATTAGCATTAAAATCTCCTAGTACAATAAGTAGTATATTGTTAGCTAGTGCTTATTGTATCTATGAAATAACTTTGCTTTGAGTTGAATTTTGTCAATTAGAGCAAGTAGATGATAAATATACAGAAATAATTCTGAATTTAAAGTTGTTTTTGAAGAAGAGGTCTATAGCAATAGCTCCTCCTAGATGTGTAATTATATTATGGATATAAGGTTGAAGATGGTTTGCAATCATTAAGCTTGTACCTTCAGCAGAGTTTTCTAAGTTAGACTAGTAGTAAGTATAGTGAGGTGTATTGAGAAATTTGAGCTTTTTGTGTGTTGCAGAAATCTTGGTTTCAGTAATGCTAATAATTTGAAGATTATGTGAAAGGCAGTAGTTTTCCCATAGCTGTCTTTTGGTTATTGTATTGTATCCTTGGATATTGTATGTAGCGATGTTTAGTTGTAGTAGTTGTGTTTTCCTTTTGGTTGCAATGTGTACAATTTGGTGTGAGGTATAGATGAGATTGTCTAATATTTAGATTGTCTATTGTTGTGAGATTATTTAAGAGAGTTTTGAGACAAAAAGAGTAAAGATTAGTATTGGATGAGAGTGAGTTGAAGATAGAGAAGTTTAGTTTGAAATTGATTAATGATAAGTTTTGATATGTTTTCAGTTGATTTATATTATTGAGAGTTTGAATAAAGTAGAGTGATTTGTTGAATTAGCATAATTTAAGAGGGATAAGATTGTTGTTCCAAGAAAAGAATGGAGGTAGAGTAAAATATTAAAAGTTAATTTTAAGTAGTAGTTTGTTTGTTCTTTTTTTTGCAAGTTTGTCTGCTATGTTGTGAAAAGTATTTTTAGGGTGAGATTTAATTTTGTGAAAAGTGCAGGAGATGTTTTTAGAATTAATTAGGGAGTTTATGATGTGAATTATATCCTAGTTGAATTGTTTGATTTGAGTATTGTTATTGTATAGAAGATTTTTAAGTATTTGTAAAGCTAATAAGTTATCGATGTGTATATAAATATAAGAGGATATTAGAAGTATAAGTAGAATTGTAATTATTGCTTCTATTTCTGCTCCAGTTGAGTTGGAAGTATATGTTAAAGCAGCATTGAATTTTATTTGGCTGTTGTAAGAGAGGATCCAACCAAAGTCTGATTTAATAAAAGGTGTTTGTGAGTGATAAATAGATGTATTAGTATAAAAATGTAAGTTATTAATGAGGAGGTTGAGGAGAAGATTATGAAGTTTTATGAGTTGTTCCTAATATATAGGTAAGTTGATTATGTTTTTAATTAAGGATATTTCAGTATTTGAGATTTGTACAGTAGAAGATGGTAAGGGTTGGTGTTGGGTATGAAGTTGTGTAGAGATTTGGATAAGATCATTAATTTCTAGATTGCCAATTGATAGTTTAAAATTTGATTTTTCTTTTTGACTTTTGCATTTGATGTTTAGAGTTTGGTTTGGTGATATTTTTAGAAAGAATTGAGAAAGAGAAATTACAGTAGTTCCATTTGTTTGAGAAATAATAATATATTTTTAGAAAGTTATATAGTTAGTATAGTAAGCTATACAGTAATCATGATAATAATATTATTCAACTCTTTCTAACGATCACTTGAACCTATATAGAGCAACACTGACCTGTGAAAAAAGAAGGAAAATATAACAAAAGGATACATAACTCCTTCTAGTAATACAGAGAAATTAAAATATTCAGCTCGTAGTAGTTGAAAAACACTGTTTTGGGGTTGTGGCCTGTATTATATATCTAGAAACTTTTGAATAGAAGTGGCACTACTAGGAGCTTTTGTCAAGTATTTTGTTTGGGTTATGGAAAACAAACATATACTTGCCTTATTATTATATTCTTTCAAAGTAATATAGTCTTATAGTCATTACAATACACTCTACAAGCAAGGTTCTTCTGAATATATCTTTTGGACTTTCTCTTTTACTAGCTTCATTGTTTTTTGGAGCAAATTGGAAAAATCAGCTACTCCTATTAAAAGATCTACAATCGACAAATCATATCAGGAACTGCCTATTTACATTCAGGTCTACATAAACAGATACGTGTAAGCTGAAACACATGTTTTGGAAAACCTCTATGGAAGGCTACCAGAATTCGATCTTGAAGTAAACTCCTCTAGGTGCAAATTAAACTTTTTTACGTTATAGTGAAAAACATAGAAGAGTAGCTATATATAATTTTTACCAGAGCTATACTGGGAGCAGTATAGTATACTACTTCTTTTTCTCATTTTCCTTTTTCTTTTTTTTTCTTTTTTATTTTGTTTT